AAGTGCTACGCTAAGCATCACCTTGCACATTCCGCATTTAGGACCTCGAGTCGAAACGCACCGAATTATCACCAAACATGGTAATCTTCTTGTCGCCAGGTACCCCCTCCGACAAGACTAAACAATATTATAAAAGAGCGGAGAAGACCGCTCACTTCAGACTTAACACCTCGGTCTCTCGCCGCGACATACGCAACCGACACGCGGTTTGCACATTAGTACAAGAACTTGGGAGTAATAATTAAACACGTCCAAGTACGGTTGTAAATAAAGCTTTTCATATATTAACTACAAGTAGCGGCTACAAACTCTTACTACATTCCTACCCACCGCCACACACCCTGCCGCGCCCGCATTACCGATTCCGAACTCTTTCGCGTCCCGGCAACACGGGGTACGACATATATTTTTAGGCAACTTTCTGATTAGTTCTACTCCCACCTCCATGATGCATAACGCAACATCTTAAGCCACACGGTGTTTTCGTGTTGGATTGCTTGCTGGATGGAAATACTCTGTTCTGGGCCTATATTCTTGAAATTTTTGAGTATACGTAATTTTCACTGCGCAGCTATTTTATGATATGATTAAACCTGCGCAGTAAACCTTTATAGAAATATCATACTAAGAATCATTGATAATTACTTATTTTCAGTATTAAAAATACTGGATAATAAGTAATTATCAATGATTCTTAGTATGATATTTCTATAAGGGAAACTTACGTATACGCAACTATTTCAAGAATAAGAGCCCAGGTGCTTGATTCTTGACGGTATGCGAATGAGATATGCATGCGAAAATAGTTTAGTTCATGTTACGTATACTGTAGATTTTTGCATGCGTATCTCATTCATACATCGTCAAGCATCGGGCCCCAGGAGCTAGAAGGTTATTACGGAAAACAGTATATTGATTGGCTGTTGCGCGAACATCCGCCGCGCGGCAAGCATTTCCGCGTCCTGTGTGCAGGAGTCATAAGTATAAATTTAAGATATTAATACACTTTAAGTATGATACATTACCCTTTGTTATTCATGTATTACGTCCCGGCGGGTTGCGGCCACGCTGCCGTGAAGAATAGCGCTCGAATCCCTAGCACGGAATCAGATGGCAATTTTTCGGGCTAAACGAATCGTGTGATTCGGGAGCGGTGCACTTGGACACGGTGCATTTGGACACAGCCAATCACAGCACCGTATGATTAGAGACATTTGTAGGGTCCCTTGGAACAGCGACTTGTGATTGGACTGTGTCCAATTGCCCCGTGTCCAACTGATATACACCCGTGTGATTCTACCCGGGGATCCGTGCGATCAAGGGTAATCGCGATGGATTTCGCGCAAAACGCGTAGTATAACCACCGTAGTGTAACTTTACGGTGGGTCGGACAGTCGCAGGCTTTAATCGTAGTTTCGCACGTATAGAAATAATGTAAATAATGACTTACCAGTGGTCGTCCACCGTACGGTTGCTCTCTGTACCTCTGGATGGCGTTCTCGTGGCTTACATGAATCGGTACCTCCTGGACCTCTAGGTGCTACCGAAGGCGAGACTCTAGGGAATCTCGTTTTGGATCGCGCGGCGGCGAGTTCGAATATTCGAATCACTTGTAATTGACCGATGGGTATTAGGGAGGAACACCGCACGTCGCGGTTTCGCTTAGGCGTAGGAGGAAATGTGTCGTGTAAGGATGTTCGAATGGGAGGGAGTAGAAATAGAATTACTACAGATAATATATATATATATATATATATAATCCCATACAGCACAGAAACATTGCAGGATCATTGTAGAAATATTTTATTGCAACATTGCAAATACGTTGCGAAATATGACTGTAACATTACTATGATGTTATAGCAACGGTAAAATGTCCGCCCTCGGAAAGATTACTTTGTAATATCATAGCAATATTAAAATGCAATATATATATAATAATGCAAAATGAATGTTTTTTCATTTAACAGAATAAATTTTCACGCACTACCACTAATTTTTAGTTTAGTAACATCCATTAATATAATTATAATAAATATAACATAAAATATTGTGTAAATATTTTATCAAGTATTATATGTTATTTCCCTAACAGCACGGGGACATTCTGAGGACGTTCTGAGTAGATCGCAATGCGTATATTGCGATCATCTCAGAATGTTCTCATATGTACTGCGATCGACTGAGTACGTTCTGAGTAAATACGCGAGCGATACAAATGCATACGTATCATTTCAGTCAAACCTGAGAATGTACGCACGCGATAGAAAAGAGTACGTATCATTTCCA